TTCTTAAAGTATACCTTTAAATAAGGTCTTACAAATTTAGGAGCCTTAATGGAGCAAACTCTAGGATTTTATAAATTTTTTTAAACTTCAACTAAACTACTTTATAAACTTTAAACACACAAACAAAAACATTTTCCCCAAGTTTAAATTTTACTGGGGTTTTTTTTTTGATACATTTTCTCATGCTAATTTTCTAAATCCTACGAATACAGTAATCTAGAAATATTGTTCTTTGGTGGGAAAGGGAAAAGCCAGATCTATTCTCAGCTACCACGGCATCAGCAGCCAATGTGTCTGACGCCTTTTGTCTCTGCAGCGGATCTTTACAACCACATGTTGTGCGCCTGTCCTGCACAGCTGCCCTCTCAGAGGGACGCCTGTCCTTCTGCCCTCTTCTGATTGACGCTATTTACCCATATTTACTCTGTTTCACTAGAAACTTCCTACAAAAGAGAAGTGCTGAGCACACCCAGGTTCGAGTCCCGCATAGAGAACCTGCACAGCTCCAGGGAACAGCGCGGATTGCAGAAAGCCTCTGTTGAGAATTTCTGGGGCTTTCCTTTAACATCATTGTTCTACACATCATGGACCTCCCCACCCGCTTTCCCTGGGTCAGCTCTAGCACATAGCAGGTGACTAGCAAAATATTTGTTGAATAACCAGGAAAAGTGTTTTCTAAATTACATTAATTTTTTAGTAGTTTTCTATACCTCAAAAGGGAGAACTTTGTGTGCAAACCATATTATCATTATTTACAATCCTAGAGAAAACATTCTTAAACTTCCTTCCTGACATGAAACTTTATTCTATGTATGTTTGATTATGTGTGTATGTGTGTGTCCATAACTATTTTCCTTTCTTAGATTTAGCTAAACAAATCCAAACATGTGTTATTAATGGTTTTAATTCTTATGCTCCTCTCCATTCAATCAGGAGTTGAAAGAGCATAAAGAGGCCAATTCAACCATGTCGTCCATCACCTTGCCCACTCACACACACGTAGTCATGTACACACAACCATATTCCAGCCACCAGTTGGCCCTTGTCTTCTATATTTCATAGAAGACAAGGGCCAATTGAGGCGGGAGCCTCAGCCTAGACACGGCACTTTTCAGTGCTTGGCAGGCGCAGGGACAGAGGCTCCACGCCTTCTCTCGCTCTAAGTTAAACACAGTGAGACGACATTACCTTTCTGGATCCTGACCACAGCCCTCCAGATGCTCAGTCCCAAAACGATGGTGGTCAGCAGCCCAACCACGATGGCCACCAGCGTCCTCAGGTCACACACACGGCAGGAAGCCATGGGGAAGCCGAGCCACAAATCCACTCCTGAGTGAAAAATAACTAGCTTCTTTTCTTCTCAAGCCAAGAAGTTTAATCAGAAACTCATCTAAAAAATAAAAATGATTTTTTTTTCTTTTAGTGACCTTTCAGGCAGATATCCTCATTTTTAAGGATATTTTAGGGTAATCAGGGAGAATGCAGTTCGAATCATGGAATGAAAAGTACATACTCTGCTTGCAATTTCCTCATCTTCACTGAGTGAGAACATGAAAAAAGTGATTGGAGTATGGAAAAGGAAAGAGAACTCAGGGCAATAAAGAAGAAGGGGAGGGAATAACTAACAGAGTCAAAGGGTAAAGGTCCTGACAAGCAAGATGATGGGGAAGGGAACAAAACAAAAGAAACCTAAAGAGGCCCTGGTAGGTGTCCTCAGTGGTTAGAGCATCTGCCTGCAAACCGAAGGGTCACGCATTCAATTCCCTGTCAAGGTTGCAGGTTTGATCCCTGACCCTGGTCCAGGCCTGTGAGGGAGGCAATCAATTCATGTGCCTCTCTCAGAATCCTCTCTCTCTCTCTCTCAGTGGCAATCTAAAATAGGGAGTCAGACCACAAGAAGGGAGAGAAGGGTGTCAACACTTGGACAAGAATGGGCGTGAAGATCAGAGATCGATTACATTCCCAGTGATCAAACATGTGCAGGGGCGCATATACAATGCAATTGAAACTTTGTGGCCCATGTGCAGAAGTTGGTATTTTGTGGAAGAGCCACACACAAGGGGCCAAAGAGCCGCATGTGGCTTGCGAGCTGCAGTTTGCCAACCACTGCCTAGGAGAAGGGAGTTACAAATATGGAAAGGAAGAGAACTTGAATGCCATAAGAATTTGAAAACTATCAGAAATATGAAGAGAGAAAAGCTGTATGCAGTTAATTCTGAAGGGAAGATGGCTGTCAGAGGAATGTATGAGTCAGTTATAAACTTCTTATTCAAAAGGTGAGTATTTCAAAGGAAGGAATGTGATATTACTCCTTATTTCTAATACTTGAACTAAATAATTTCCATTGTGCCTAAAAAACAAACCTGTAGTGTTGGATTGGAATTGGATGTATGCCAAATATATATGAGTTTGTATTATGTATATGTATGTGTGTGTGTGTGTATATATATGTATATATATATATAAAACCATGAGTTTGTATTTATGCATACATCCAATTCTAATCTATATATGTAGAGAGATATATTTCAATATGCACTCAATAAATATATTTATATGCAGGGTGGGGCAAAAGTAGGTTTACAGGTGTTTTAAATTGTCTGGAAAACAATACAGCAACTAATAAGCAGCAATACAAGAATAAACTCTGTGTTTAGCATACGCATAACTGTACCTACTTTTGCCCCCTCTTGTACTGTCTGATTCCACCTGTAGGAGGTGCCTGTAATAGGCAAATCCATAGGATGAGAAGCGGAGTAGAGCTCAGCAGAGGTTGGTGGAGGTTGTCAGTACTTGTTCAACGGCTGGAGATGATGAGAAAGTGTGAGGGGTACACGGAGTGACACTGACACAGCACTGCGAGTGTCTTTATGGACTCACGCTTACACGTGGGTGCAATGACAAATCCTGCGCCATGTATATTTTATCACGTTTTTAAAAAGCGAGTGGCAGGGTGGCACAGGGAGGCTGTGCCCTTTGAGAGCATCCCCTAAAACGGGCCCCTGTCAGCCAGGCGAAGGCCTTGTGCTGACGGTGGTGGTGAGGGCGATGGAGGAGAGACGGGGCGCAGTACACTCCCCACGTTCAGGAGCCAGCATGGTCTGGAGGAGAAGCTGCAGACGAAGGGGCGGGGAAGGTGCTCAGCCCTCTGTACATCTCAGGTCCACGACGGCCCGAGTCCCTCCGCGCGCAGGCTGTTAGGAGGATTAAATGACCGGATACACGTGCAGTCCCTAAAACACTACACTAACCGCTCAAGAAATGTTATTTCTTTTTTTCTTTTGTAAAAGTGTTTTTATTGATTTTTAGAGAGAGAGGAAGGGGGAGGGAGAAGAGAGAGAGATAGAAACATCGATTGGATGCCTCCTGCATGCCCCTCCCACAGCTTTTACAAAGTCATTTGGAAACTCCAGCACCTTGGAGTCTGTGGCTCTGCCTGGGGAACCCTCAGTCCTCTGCGAACTCCTCTGTATTCATCCAGCAGGCAATGAAGAAAGTGTG